GTACACCGAGAGCCATGGGGAGAACTGAGACCGTCCCATATCAGCTTGGCCTATATAAATAAATAAATAAATATATATATATATATAAATATGTGTATGTATGTATGTATGTATGTATGTATGTATGTATGTATGTGTGTGTATATATATATAGGTACTTATATTATATTATACATATATATATATATGCATATCTTTATATACACTAGAAATGTATTATTACTCTGTACATGTTATACCAATATTTTCTTAATCTAGGTTCAGTTGCAGGCAGGGACCTAGCATGCTGTCGCCAGTTAAGGTCCGTAGGAATCTGGGGTCAATCGCCGCGACCAGGAGTCTGTTGCGACCGCAGTTGCAGATAACTTGCTCATCCGTTAGCCTGAATCTTCGAAAACCCGGGGCCCGAATCTTCCTGAAGGAAGATGAACGTTCCACCGCTTGCGACAATGCCCTAAAAGATTTGCCAGTCTGGTTCATGGCTTTTTGGTTTGGGGGTACCCAGCTTGAAGTTTGAAGGGCATCTAGGATTTAGGCTTTAGGGTTAGGCGAGCCTTCAGGAGTTTGGGTTCGGGCTTCCCGCTGCTAACTAGGACCAACTAGGATCCCATGCTCCTCCCTTGTTTTGCAAGGACATGACGATGCGCGCATATGGAGGATGCCACCCATGTGCCTCGTCTCATTCTCCACGTGGAGCTGTGGAAGCTAAAGTTTCAACCCTGAAGCACCCAAGCCGAAGCAAAAGCCCAAGGAAAAACCGCTAGCATACAGGAGTAAACTCCTAAACTCTTAAAACCACACATGTAGGAGATTTAGAAAAGAGCCGAGCCTTCAAAAGGGACCCTGCGGAGCAGAATCCTCATTTTCGGACCCCAGAAGAAGAGTTTTCTAATTCCCAGAAACTCTAACAGACTTTGGGCTCAAAGGGGCTCCAATTCGTTGCTGAAGTTTAGGGTTCGCGGTATCGGGGTGTGATGAGGGTATTAGGAACCCAAAACCCTAAGCCTTTGGGGTATTGGGCTGTGGGGGTTTAGGCTTTCCTGCGCCCTAATGTCGCAGGGCAACATAGAACCCTGAAGCCGGAAGCCTCTAAGAGAAACTGCTTCCTTATTATCATTATAGTATAATGGGCCCCAACACCCTATTCTAATTATAAAGGCTTCTACATTAAGCTGCTGAACCCTACGCCCCTGAACCTGGTAAGGTAGAACCTTGCAAAAGTCAATAGAACCTTCTAGCACAACGCCGTAAACTAAATAGAACATGGAGGCGTTTGAGTAGAACCCCAACAAAACCCTATGGAACCTCATACCCACGCGGAGGTTGGCGCACTGGTCGGCAATTGCTAGCATTCGCAAGGCGCGAAATTATGTACGGATGTATGGAAGCCCGAATAATATCTTCAGTTTAGTACAGAATCCCCCTTCAACATTAATCGCGTCCCTATATGAAATGACAGCAAGCACGAGTGCCGACAGCCAACGATTTGGGGTTCCACGTTTGATCGAACTCTTGGTTTGTAGCTGCGCTGAACCCTCAACTCTTGTCAGTTTGGGCTTACAGGTCTGTGGAGTGTCGGGTCTTGACGGGCTCCGGGTCTCGGGCCTCGGCAGTTTAGGGTTTAGTGTCTTTCTGGGCTTTGGGCTTGTGAGTGTTGGGATTTGGGATCACAGGTTTGGAGTTCGGAGCTTGTGGTCCGCAAACATATTGACATGTCTGTTTTTCGGGACAATGTTAAGACGCCTAAACCCTGAATCCCCAAACCCTAAAGCCTGAACCGGGACGGCACAGACGGCTCTTCACACACCTACACACCCACACCACGCACCCACACACCCACGCACGCACGCACGCACGCACGCACGCACGCACGCACGCACGCACGCACGCACGCACGCGCGCGCGCACGCACGCACGCACGCACGCAGGCACGCACGCACGCAAGCACGCACGTACGCAAACATCACATACATGAGCGCTGACACTTTACACATACCTCAAATTGTTTGTCGATCGAGTTGTGGTCGCCGTGGTCTGCGATGATCCATGCCATCCACTGTACTGCATGATCTCAAGACCATCATCGATGAAGATGACACGACTACATGACTTTATGTGGAGGACCATCCGACCGACCCACCCACACCCACCCGCCCGCATGTGCATATCTTTCTGCCTGTTAGCCTGTCTTTCTGTCTGTCTATGTTTCTGTCTGTTTGTCTATCTAGCTATCTATCGAGTGTAGCAGTGTAGCACACGTTGTCGCGAAACCTGTTGTTTTTGCGGGTTTAGGGCCGTTTAGGGGCTTGTTTTTTGTGCTTTGCGCAGGAGTGCAACTTCACCTGCATCCCGCCGTTCGTTGGTGACATGGAAGTAGCCCACTGCCCTCATGCAGCTTTGCTGAGGTTGGAATTTGTCGGTTGGGTAGCATTGGATCGAACCTAACCTAGAGTCGTTTTACTAGGACAGGGCAACGTTTGTCTGAGGTTTAGTGGTGCAGGCTTAGGGTTTTGGGTTTAAGTTGCAGGGTCCTGTCTAAGCGGCCCAGGACAACCAGGATGCGGCTGGTGGCCTGGTATGGTCCCTGCCGCGGTGCGTCATGCCCTTCTGCGACGAGCCAGTCGGGGAAGGCACCTGTGGCATGGCCTACTGATACTGCCAAGCACTTTTGTTCGCTCGTGCAATCATATATCTTTATGCTCATGGTCTCCATAGTGCTCAGCCTGTTATCCGTATTCAAATCATTCATTGGGTTCCAATGTCGGGTTTGCGTTTATGATTTGCCTCTCTCAGAATTGTTGGAATGCAACCCCAAGCCCCCACAGTCCTGCTTGAGAGGATACCAGCGGACCACCTCTGGCTGGCATTGCGCTCCTGGCTATGCCGGCACTGTGAGGTCGAGCTGCGAGTCTTCTTGGGCCGCATGGCTTAGGTGACAGGGTTCTCCACAATAGGGCCCCTTGATCTTGGATCGTCTTTAAGAAGGATGCTTCTACTTAGTGTGTGTATACGTGTGAATATACGTATACACCGTAGTAATCAGGATCATCATACTGAGCATGAGCATTGTAATGTTCGCCATAATCATCATCATCATCGTCATCATCATCACACCGTCACCATCACCACCACCACCACCACCACCGCCGCCGCCACCACCACCACCACCACCACCGTCACCACCATCACCATCACCGTCACCACCATCACCATCATCATCATCACCACCATCACCATCATCATCATCATCAGCATCATCATCAGCATCATCAGCATCACCACCCTCACCAACATCATTAACATCGTCAAGATCATCATCATCACCAATCGTCTTCGTCATCATCACCAACATCGTCATCAGCAGCACAGCACTGACAACTATCATAACAATGAGTATAGTCTGAAGCATCACAAATAAGCACAACAATTGTAATAACCATACCAGGCAGAATAACCACACTAGTCAGAGTGTTCAGAATAACCAGAAGAATCAGACGATTCAGAACAATCAGAAGAACCAGAATCACAAAAAGACCATGATCGTCATGATTATATTCATAGAAAATGAGTCCCGGTGCTCTTCCAAGGATTGCTGCGAGGTTCATCTGGCTCTTGAAGGCTGCAATCCCATATTGGGATGTGCCGTGCCCACAGAATATGACGTCCCTTCCCATGCAGCTTACCAGAAGTGTTACTATGAGGGTTAGAGTTTAGGCTCTAGGAGGTAACACAAGAATCAAAGGGTTACTTTGAGGGTTGCCATGCCATAAGATTTAGGGCTCGAGTCGCTGAGTGCCTGCGTGAAACCTGAGGAGTGCGTGTTGGACTTCTCTGACTGTGTGAACATCTCTTCCGGGGAAAGCTGCGAGGTGTGCCAAGGCTTCATTCAAACCCTAAACTCTTTCGGTATTCCGACTAAGCAGGAGAAAGGGGGCGCAAAAAACCATCCTTCATTCAACCCTGCCTTCGGTGATGTCATTTGCCTAGCTGGTCTTGACCTTGGGATTTAGGCAGCCCTGCATACTGAGGACCTGTCGTGAGCCACATGTCGGACTGCCCACCGCGCACGCCCAAGCTCACAGCTCCGGATAGAAGTAACAATGGCAATAATTCCGAGACTAGTACTTCATGATGCTAATGAAAGCTGCAGTTTTGGCTCTTCGAACGAGCCATCAACACTTGAGGTCGCTGAGTGCCTGGACGAGAACACAGAGCCAGGGCGAAGGATTGACTGGACACCACCACGCTGTCAGGCTGCTGCTAGAAAGATTAGGGTTGATGGTTTCGGATTTAGGTTTTGTTTACCGAAAAACGCTATTATCGTCACGCACCTGCCCTCGCAAGCGAAGCCGTCGCTGAGATCCTCGACCTTCTTCTCAAGTCGACCACTGTAAGAAACTGTAAAACTATGTGGCGGCCAGATCCTTTCTTGTCCACCGCCGGAGCCTATGCCACTGGGCTATGACTACGACAACGAGACCCGGACCTACACTTGCGCAGATGGTGGGAGCCTCATGATCTTTGCATAGAAACGCTGAGGTGCTTCAGTTGGAAGACACTTGAAGGCTCTGGGTTCACTTGAGGACCATGTCTAGTGAGTCGAGTGTAGGTCTCTTCTCAGTAGCTTGTTATGATTGCGTTTCCTTGGCCAGCTGCCTGGTGCTCTCTCAGGTTATGCAGGGAGGCCTAGTGTCGCCTGTCGTGCCGGCCCATCGCCAGGGTGCGAGGTTCTGGCAGCTTCCAAGCTGCAGACTGATAGCCGCGAAGTTTCTTTCGCTGTGTTTTTTTTGGGTTCGCCGAGGAGCTCTCGGGATGTCTGCCTCTAGCAGCATGCCCTTGCCTCGGCCGCTGGGGCTCGCTCTCTCTTTGCTTCTGTTTGTAGCCGCGCGATTTTTTGCCGATCGTCAGTAGCTTCGCGGGCTCAAAGAGGTGTGCAAAGCCTTTGGGTAGATCAAAGCCATGCGATGTCGGGCAGGACGGATGGTATTTCGGGCTGGAGTGCTGCTGGCCATAGTCGCTCTGTCAAGCAGAACGCTGATTGAGTGCTTCTCCCGAGCCCCGGGCGGCAAAGTGGGGGACCCCTGTCTTCAGATCGCGGCGAGTTTCTTTGCGTGCTCAGGAATAGCCACCACTCGGCGTCCGGAAGGCTCCACAGAAACGGAAGCAGATCAGGCCCGAAGAACGAGGGGTTGCACCTGACAAGGATGAGAGGCCTTGCTCCATGATCTCCAATGCAGTGAGAATACTGTAGGAATCAGGCTGACCTAGCGGACCTAGCATCTGTAGTTCTGCAAAGCATTCCGACGAGTGCGCGAGGCCTTGGCGCCTGCTGCAGCTGCCTGGCTTCGAGCAGCCCGCAGCACAGCGGAAGGACCCGTCCACATGTTTGCCTTAGATTTCTTCGCTAGAGCCGTGACAGCTGCTGCGAAAGGTCGCAAAGACAGCGCGGCCTACTGGGAGGTCGCCTGGGAGACGACAGAGGCCTGTTTGAATCGTGTATGCCCAGTCCCGATTCCAAAGAGCTTCTTGAACCTTGCAGAGGCCTGGTGGCTACGTCCGATTGCCTTCACTGTGCCGCAGCTGAGAGAATCGAAAAAAACGGCACCTTGTGACCAGAGCCTTGTCAGGTGTCTGCCTTAGCGACCTTTGGAGCCATCCTTCAAAATCCAGACCGCTTTCGGCGCAGCGTGCAGCCGGAGCCTGTGGAGAACATGGAGGCGCTGCAGGAAGCGCTGGAACAGGCCCGCAAGGACAGTGCTGACGTCAAGGCGGCCTGCAGAGTTTTTGTGTCGGGGAGGGTTTTCGAGGATTTCCGCACAGTCGAGGAGCGGCAAGCCTGATGATTCCTGTCACTTTTTGTTCAGGCACGCAAAGCCTTGAACGGCCTCCAGCGGATGGAGCTGCCGTTCTTCGGACCTTCGGGGTAGTTTCACTCCAAAATCTGAAGCCCATCCGAGATCGAACTCCCGACCCGGAATTTCCCCTAAGCTCCCGACGAAGAGGGATTTCGAGCCGTCAAGCTTCGACAGGAACATCCTCGAGTTGGTCGAACCGCTTGGACGGTGTGGTGGTGTCTGGCAACCCAAGAGAGGGGGCTATCCAGAACTGGCAGGCTTCGGAAGCAGTTCTACGCCAAAGTGTGGAAAAGGAGTTGGGCTACCCGGTTGTCCTACACCTCCTACGAACGAAGGAGCAGGAGAATGAAGGGCCCCTTTCCAGGCCTTATGAACTTCTGGTCCGTGATGCCACGGAAACTTCCCGAGTGACAGATGCCATGATGGCGCCTCTCTCGCTAGCACTCGTCTGGTGGTGCAGCACGCAACTCGACAGCAACCCTTCGCTGCAGCAGCTGGGAGCAGTGATCCAGCCCGGCTCGTCAGCCCCGTGGATCCTCATGCTGGTCTTGCTCTTGGTGGGAGAAGTCGCGCGCACGGTCGTCGCAAGCCTGAACAGTACCAGCGTAGGCCCAAGGACCACCGCGGCCTGACATGGGACGAACTTCTTTGTTGCTTCGTGTATCCAGGCCGGTCCTCTTGACACGTTTGCCCTGCAGGACGTTCCTCCCATCGCCGCAGTTTGGCCTCATCGGGGTTTTCGCACCCGCGGCCACTGCTAGCCCCAATCGCTCCGCAGTGCCAAAGCTGAAATCAGTTTGAAGAGGAAGAGGCGGAAGAGGGATGAAGGAGTCTCGTGATGCCAGGCTAAATCGGCACAGTCGTCGGGCCTGCGACACTTGAGGCATTGGCCATTTCCCTTGCGGCCCCCGCGGCTGTCACGGTGGCATCGCTGTTGCTGTCTCTTGGGGCAGCCACTCGGAAAGATGCAACTACTAGGTGGCTTCATCCACATCAGAAAACGGGGACACCTTTGCACGCCACTGTACATTGGATTGGGGCATGCTGGATTTCTCGCGCACACACAGACATCCGAACGGGCTTTCAGTTGGTTCGTCTGTAAGATGCGTCCAAGAAACTACTTACTACGATATGCTTCCGCAGACAGGGGCAATGATGGGAAGGCAATTTTGCGTGCATCCCCCTGGAGATGTTGGAAGAGGACCCTAAACCCTAAACCCTGAACCCCAGACCCTAAACCCTAAACCCTAAACCCTTCTTTTGAAGCATGATTTGCCCCAGAAGGTCGCTGTCGGCCCGGCGGCTGTGAAGTTCAACAGACAAAACCAGGAAAGTACAGGAAACTCTTCTGTTGGGTAACTTTCTGCAGGAGAACTCAGCTGGTACCACTGCTTGAACGCTGCTTCAGACGATGACCCTCAAACTGCGAGAGAGCAATATTCAAAACTTCGGCCTTCATCGTGCGATGTGCGGAGCGCTTTGTGGACCACATTGCCTTGTTTGGTGGAAACTCCCAAGCCTGGAAGCGCTTGAGCCCTGCACCCTTAACACCCCAAAGCAGTCAAGACCCAGACTCCTAAACCTCAACCCCTGAAAGGGCTATCCATCTAAGCCCGACACCCTGTTCCCCAAGCTTCACGACCCTAAACTTGTAGAACCTTAGCCCACCTCTAAAGAGCCCTTCCACCCGTTCTCAAGGATCTTTCCCCTGATATGGTGGCACTCAAGCACAGCACCCTCGCGGGATGTGGTCCTCTGGCCTTCCTACCGGAGGATCTTCTTTTGGCATGATGATGATAATTCAGAGTATCGTAGTTGCTGACTCTTGTATGACTATGACGGTCGCTAGCGCTACTTCACGATGGTTTCTTGTACTTTGGTAAGGTGATGGTGATCATGATGATGGCGGCGATGTTGGTGGTGGTTGTGGTGATGATGATGACCATTGGTACCGGTATTACTATCAATAGTCTGATTGCTGGTGCGGATACTACTGTCAACAGTCAAATTAAGGCGTTTGTGCTTGTTACTCGCACTGTCAACACTCTTGTCAATAGTTATGATTTCACTGTTGTTGCCATCCTAGCGACTATTATTGCAATCTGTGCTGGTGTGGTTATCATTTTGCCGTTATCACTCTTACAGCTATTATGGTGATCGTGATAATGATGATCTTTATTGCCGATCTTCTTCCTATTTCGGTAGACTTCGCTATTAGCATACCCCGGTTTTTATTATATCAACTGAACTTCGGAGGGGGGGGGGGCTGCAGGTATTTTAGTGTAGTTTTGGGTTGGGGATGTGCATGCTCAGTTTATTCAGGTTATGTTGAAAGTTATGTTGTCTGCACAGCCACCATCAACGCCGTATCAGTGTGTCCGAACAGCCTTGTGGAGGCCTTTTGAAAAAGGCCTCCGCACTAAAGTGACGAAGCTCAAGCCTCGTGAATTCTGGCCTGCAACCGGACGGCTCGCAGCACACGCATCTGCTGTGATGCTGCAGATCTTGCTTGTGCTAAACCTAAACTCTAAACCCTAAACCCTACATAATCCCATTTTCGTTCTGCATGCGGCTTACCTCCTGCTATTGTGCGTCTGTTTACATGTTCATGGGTAGAAACTATCGCTAGCAGCTTCCTGTTTGCTCTTCGTAGAACTGGTATCGGCATTGCCTTGTAGTGTTGCTCATTTGATCTTACGTCTGCAGACCGTGCAGAGAAATCCAAAGACCAACTAGATCAACACGGGAACGAAACAAGGGACGCTACCAGGATCCCAAGTACACCCTCAAAGCTGGATGTCCTGGCAGGAGACCAGCGCTGTCAGGTTTGCAGCAATGCAAGGTTTGCTGATGTCTGCCTTGGTGCCTGGGAGCAGTTGGTGAGTGAGAGAGGTTTGCAGGGTCTGGCTGAGTCCACTTGGCTACCCGTTCAGGCGCTCCTTCCACAGAGTCCAGATGGACGTGCAGCCTGGTCCGTGCTGCTGGGTCGAGAGCTGCCTAGATGAAGTTGGACATGTTGCAGGGCATGTGAGCTGACAAGGACACAGAAACCCTAGACCCTGAAAGTTAAACTCTGAAGCCTAAACCCTCAGCAGACCACGTGCACTCCACAGCGGCTCACGCGGGAAATCGGCCGTAGCCAAGGAAGGCGAAGCAGCTGGCAGACAACGCCAGGGGCCCTAACTTCAGCCCTGAACCGACACCCCAAACTTCAGGCTTCAGGGTTCAGGATCTAAGGTGCAGGGTCCCGGGGACTCGGGTTTCGGTCTCTGTTGGATGAGCGGCTGCTAGATCCGAAAGCCACGCCTAAAGTTGCACCCCATTGATTTTCTTGGGGTTCTGACAGAGAAGTCGCAATTTCGGTATTTTTGATATTCATGAGAGAATGGAATGTTAGACAAAGCCGTAGAGCAGCGTACGTCGGGGGTTAGATAGTGCTGTCAAGCCACATGTGGATAGTGCCTTCATTCCGTGGCAGCAGAAGAAGAGGAGGAAGCAACCAACTGGAATGTAGCGACAGTTGCAGTCGCAATGGCAATCATAGCGATATGGAGAACGAGATGGAGCAGGAGGAAATGCAAATATGCGTCCCCTGCTGACAAGCATACGTTGCCAGAACCACCAGTGGCAGCATGGCAAGGTCAAAGGTAAGTGGAAGGTGGCTTCTCCCAAGCTGGGTTGCTTTGACTGTACTAAACCCTGCTGCTGTGGATCAGGCCAGCTATGTCTACCCACTTCTGGGCGTCTTGTCAATGTGGTGCTCATGGCATGCAAAGGGCATCAGTTCCAAAGCCACAGGGTAACAGAGAGATGAGAGACCTGAGCTGTTGGATTTCATGTTCGGATCATGTCTCCAAGCAGCTGAGGTGCTTCGGAAGCGGCTTCCTGTCGCTGCCCTTCACTTGGGCCCTTCTGCTTACAAATCTAAATCCGGAGCAGCCACCGCCGCCCTTGGAGGAGTGCTGCTTTTCGGCCGTGGGGAGTCTTTGGCAGCCTAGTGAGCTCATCCGAATTGGCAGTGCCTTGATTTCTAGACGAGCTCTGCTGCCCTCCCGTCCTTGCTGCTGTTCGCTCCGTGCCCTGCTGCGTGGTTTGCTTCTTTCCTGGTTTTTTCAGCTTTGTTCATCGTGGTGTGAACGACATTATGCGGATTAAGGCTGGCTAGCACGACGAGAGACACCTCTAAACGGAACCCAACAGCGGCATTGGCAGTACTGATGTGCGCGTTCGTCATTGCAGATCAGACTTGCCGTCTTAGGCTTCGCGGTTGAGGGTGTAGGGTTTAGGGTTCAGGGTTTAGGGGTTTAAGGTTGGAGTTTCTGATTCCAGGAGGCGTCGGAGCCCTCGGAGACCGAGCGCCGTGTCGCCTCGGTCCTGCTGGTCCTTGCGGCCGTGGCTGCTGCGCCCCTGCCCTGGACACAGATGATGGCTGCTCTGGTCGCTTGAGAGGCAGTCAAGAGAATCTCGATACTCGATGCGACCAAAAAATAGCATATGAGCATGATGAGGGCTTGTATGATGGGAGACATGACCGCAGACTCTTCAGCAGGAGAGCCGACTGCTCGATTGAGCAGGTGCAGTTCCACAAGCTGTCGCTTGTGTAGATCGTTTCATTGAAACATGTTTCGTGCAAAACGGGATGGCTTGAGCCCCAAAATGCATACTTCCTTTTCTAAAACACCTCTGATAGGGTGGAATGGAAGTTGGCTTTGCACGTCCTCGCCAGGCTCAAGGCATTCGTAATCCCCACTCCTTTGTGCAAAGAGTCGAGACAAGCTCTGGCGGCTTCGGAGCTCCGTTCCAAAGTTTGCATTGTGGTGTACAAGAACGAGGTGGTGGTTTCTGAATAACAGGGCACTGGTTTGAGAGGTCCTTACCATAAGGATGCACTACTCTACAGAGGAGAGGCCCCTCTTCTCTGAAACGTCTTCCGGGCTCGCTTGCAGCATGGAGACGAAGCCGTGCTGTCCGACACAGCTTTTCGAACTTCGGGAAGTGAGTGGCAGGCTCCTTGCAGAGTGATGCATACTGTTGCATACTCTCGGTGGAAACATGCCTCCCAGTTGGATGGGTGGCAAGACTCTGTGAAGTCACAAGAGTGTGCCGCACCTACCTGCCTCTTACTACGCCAATTTTCCTCCTGCATGCCTCCGGCCTACGCTGACATGCAAGCCGCAACTTTTCGATGCACCGTCGCATCTCAGCAAAAAAGAAGCGTGCACCCACAAACTTACTTGTCATTGCACTTCAGAGTTCAGAAAGTCTTGACGCATCAGCCAATGATGCAGTCATGTGCAGACGGTTGATTCGGCTCAGGTCCACTGCCACCCATGGACTTGCAGTGCATGATGGAGACCACGTGCGAGAACGCAATGGTCCAGCCTGGGGGTTCTTGAACCTCGCTGGCACGATTCAAGGAAATGCATTCTGGGCAGGTGCAGAGCGGTTGGTTCGAGTCTGCTAGCCTGCGAGTGACGAACTGCTGAGGCGACATTTCTTGCCGCACACCCTATATTGGCGGGACTGAGAACGCCTCGTGCCATGAATGCACGAAAGAAGACTGCAAGTGGAGCGCCCGCTCTCCTCTGCGTATCCAGGTGTCCATCAGGAAACACGGACAGTGGGACCATAGCTACCATGGATCTGCCGTTGTGCGAGCTGCGATGCGACTTGCTTGCAGATTCAGTGCAATTGCGGGAGAGTCCTTTGTTCCAGAAATCACTAGATTCAAAGAGCTCTTCTCCATTCACTTGTTTCCGTCGAGGTGAAATCCCCGCGGCGATACCACCAGGATATGAACAAACGGAGTTTGGGTGGCGTTGCGCTGACGGCTTCATAGGCTGCCGTTTGTGTCTGTCTGTCGGCCTGTCTAGCAGCCAACCTGTCTATGCGGCGTCCTGTCCGTTCGTTAACCTATGTCTAAGCATCTACAGCAACCGGCGCATATGTATTGTACGCATTGCGACTATCCCTATCTCCGTCATCGGATTCTCTGCATCTCTCTCGATGTGTCGATCTTAGTGTCTGTCCACCTGTCGTGTTCACTCTAGTCCATCCATGTATGCCACCTATCTGACGGCCTCACCTTGTACGATGTCGGTAAGCCGCCCGTCCATTCCTCCATCCACCTATCCACCCGACCACCCATCCACCCAGGCTCCTTCCCTCCCTCCATCAATCCATGCATCCATCCATCCCCCCACCTACCTGTCTGCATTTATCTTGTTTGTTTTGTAACTTCCTCCTTTTGAGAGTCAGCCCTTCTGTTGCCTGGCTATCTTTGCGTCTGACTGGCTTTCTGCCCCTTGGTCTCAGCATAGTTGCAGCTCCCTCCGTCTAAATTCATCTTCGCTGTCTCTGTCTCCTCGCTCGCAAGTTCAGCCAAAGAAGTACCTCCATCTATACACATCCTGCCGTCTGCTTACGCATACCTGGAGCCCAGCTTTACCTTGTATGCTGCTATTTTCTTGTCATGTCTGATGTTGCATGCTCTGTTTCTCAAGCCGCAAGCCTTTGCCGTGATGTGTTTCCTTGTGTGTCTTTTATGTCTTTCGACAAATCTCTATGTATAGAGGTTATGCCTCCCGGCAGCTCCTGTGGCACTTGTAAGTTTTTGCGTCTGTCCTTCTAGTTGCCTTGTCCGAGTGCAGGTCTACCTCTGTCACCTTTGCCAGTTCTGTGTCTTTACCTGCCCATCCATTTATCTATCAACCCCTGTCACGCCCCAGATTCTCTCGGGGAAGCGGATGTCAGACATCTCTTGCAGATTTCACTGCTTCAACTCGTGCAGTTCTGCCTTTGAGCCTTTGCGGAGGTGGCGTCCTGGCTCGTTGCGTGATAGACCAGGACGGCTTCAGACTTTTTCCCGCTGAAACTCAGACGAGCATTGAATGTCAGGAGACATGCAGGACATCCCTGCTGCTGGAAGGCTGCCTTCGCCTGGAGCCCTGCAAGCCACCTCCCAATCCTTCGCCGTGCCTATACGTGCGACCCTCAGGGATGCAGTTTGCAGGTCACTCCGAAGCCGAAGGAGCCTGACGAAAAGCACCCTAAACTAAACCCCTAAACACTCCAGATTCGAGCGGGCTCACCTTCATATCGTCACTTGAATGTTAGTGTTTATTGGACATCGGTCATAACGTAATGTACATGGGTCAAAGCGTAGTGAACATCGGGCACAACTTGATGGACATCGGCCATTCTCTAAATCCTTGGGTTCCGGCAGCCTTCAGCTCTATTTAGGACTTGTTCTGGGCTGTAGCATACTAGGGCGTATTCTGGGCTGTGTCAGATATAGGGTTAATTTTTTTTTAATATTTTTATTTTTTTTTTTTGGGGGGGCGGGGTGGGTCCTGGTTATAGTTCTAAGTATAATATACCCCCAAAACCCTA